GCATTCCTGGCTATTTTGGCTATTGTGGAAAAATGCTGATCTTTTACCTGTTTTTATCTAAGTCTTCAAGATATCCCTGGTAGTATCACTCAAAGCAAAACCTTGGTTGTAAATAATTGAAAATAGATTTCTTACCAAACTGGCCAGGCCAGATAGTGAATCACATACATGAGTATGGTTACAAAATGTGTTTAGCAATACAGCTTAGGTAACATTGGAAGAGATTTACAGAAATGATAATTACTGCTGTAAACACCCACACCAAAGTGCATAAACACATACTATTCCTCTTTCATGTAGGGACAATTAGAGTGCGGAGAAGTAAAAACCAAGGCTGAGACCCAAAGCTGGGATAGTAATTCCATAGGTTGTTTTAGTTTCTGCTTGTGCTTGACCCAAGCAGATAATTCAGCCCTATTCTGAGTATTTCCATCATGTCTTACAACAAAGTATTGAAGATGAAGAAAACTGTGCTTCCTTCTGCCTTTTGTGGCAGAACGGCAGACTTTTATGATGGAAAGCTTTCAGTGACAGATTGCTTTAATTTTTCTGTTACTTCAAAATAGTAGATTAACCCAAGGCAAAATTAGGAGATTTCTCCCTTTAGATTTGGCAAAGGCCAAATTGGATATAGTCTTCTACCTTTTGTATCCAAGCAGCTGATCAGATTTTAGGCTTTTCTTGAGATATCCCTTACACTGGCTGGAGTGCCTTTCCTTGCAGTTGGTGTGGCAAGGAAAATTAAAACTTCAGCAGCTGTTCTGCACGGTGCTCATTAGCTTGCTTCTTCAAATATTCTTTCAAGTCTCACAAAGTTCATTTATTTCAGTCAGCTGGCAGCGAAGTTCACTACTAAACAGATCTTTAATACAGTATATGGGTAAGTACTTTGGGTCCAACCATAAATAGTTCTTCCAATGATTAGCTGTAATGTCTTTAAATATGCCAAAACACCATACAAAGAAAGATAATAGCAATGATTTTAAAAACCCTTAGCAAAGTGACTGCCCTTCTCCCTGTTGCCCTTTCAGAAAAGTGGAGAGGAAGCGATAGCTGACTGTATTGGTCATTTAAAACAGTTTTAATTAATTGCTTCTTTTTGTTGTGACACTAAACAAAGGAAAAGAGAAGAGGTGACTTTTGAAGAAGAGAAGAAAATAGGAAGTAAATTTCATCCCTTATTGCTCACCACAGCACATGCTGAATAAGCAGTGACCTTGGACATGACTAGATATTAAGTGATACACGTAACACTGCAGTTAACTTTCCACTCCACTTTCAGTCATGTGAGGACAATACTGGGCATGGTTAGTAAGATTCTTTCCTTTACAGAGAGTTTCCTTTAGAAGTGTGGTAGAGATAATATCCATGTGAAATACTTTCAGATATGATCCTTGTGAAAATAAAATAAAACTCTGTCAGTACGCTTTGGCAACTTAGTTTTGTCTGAATTGGGCTAGTAAGTTAAAAATGAAAACTACATTGAAAACAGGCCTGGCCCTCTTCTGCCTAGGTTGTGGAAGGAGTAAAACATATTAAAGAATTATCTGATTAAGCACAGAACTCTATTAGGATAATGATCAAAAAAGGGCTTGAATGTACATAGTAAGTGTAGTTTGTAGGGCTTCTAAACTTCAGATAGGCTGAGTTAACCTGTGCCTGAGAGAACAGGGGAGGACTGAGGGTATCTCAGCGCACGCTCCAGAGGTGGAGGAGTTCATATTCAGAACTTTGCTCAAGTGTGATAGGCTCAAATCACCCAAAATTATTAGACAGATCACTGAAAGAATGCAAGCTGAGTATTGAGGAGTTGCGTGTGAATGTCGGAGATTGGTGTCTGCAGAAATGGGCGACTTTCCTCCTCCTACCCCTCTTTGCCTTTGCCTAGCATCCTCTGGGGCAATGTCCATGGCTGTGGAGCCACTACAGTGACCTGAGCTGGGGGCAGCTGTGTGCCATAATGTAATACAAACAACAGCAGGGTCAAATTAAACTCTAATCTCTTCCTTTTCATTGGCATCTTAAAGTATTAAGGATACCAAGAGACAAAAAACAATAGGCTCTAGAGGTTGCACAACTGAAATCCCCTTTCTGACCATTCACAGTGCTTTTCAAGGACAAGGGTGTAGTCTAACAGCACCTCTGAATACAAAGAAACCTGTCAGGCAGTCCAGAAAGGACAATACATGAAGAGAAAGTTATTCCTTGGGCTTGAGAGTCATAAAAGGGGCAGGTAGGTTGTGATTTTGACCTGGTCATGCGTTTCCAAAAAAAGTGAAATAGAAGGAAAAAAAAAAGAGAGAGAGAAAATAGAAAAACAGAAATATCCATGCCAAGTCCCCCCAGTCAGCCATAAATGACTGTTCTGAGAAGAAAACTTTGCTTGATGTTTAGGTACAACCCATACAACCCACCGCTCACAGAAAGATGTCCTGATCCATCTGAACTAATGTCTTTATTTATGTTTAAATCCCCAAGAATAATCCTTCAGCAACACCAGCTCCAGCTTACTGATTAAATCCTATTTGGAATTTAGTCATCGGCATGCCAGGAGAACCATGAACTTCAGCCTTACCACAGGGCAAAAGAATAATATATTAACAAACTTTCCAAGTTGTACACTGCAAAACAGACTGTTTCTGCTTCTTCCCATTCAGTACCTCTCATCTTCTTACTACAACTAACAACATGAAAAATTGGGTCTATAATACCAACTAATCCAATCACAGTTTCATTCCATTTTAAGGGCAACAAAATATTTCTTTTTTGCACAAAAGATTTTATACTTCCCCATTATGAATTCAGACAAGAGACATCAACTCCATCTTTAATACCACATATGTTTTTGCTTTTTAATAAAAAAACGTGTTTTTGGTTTTTAATCAAAAGAATATGTTCGAGATAAAGGTGGTAAAAGGATGAAATCTTGGTTACTGGATGAAACTGCAGTTGAATTAAACTTATTTAGTTATTCTGCTCATTCACTGAACACTTCCAGGGTGTTCACTGCTATGAACTTAGGTCTGTTGACGTTTCCTTAGGGCAATACCAAGCACATAGGTTGATACAAAAAAAGTTATGTTTTTTGGGAGTCATGGAGCAAGATGCAGCTAAAGTCACTGTGAGCCTCGAGCCTGTCTATCTTCTTCGCTTGTGTTTGCCCTTAGGCCACTATGAGGACATTGGCGGGGGAAAAGCTTTCTGACACTTCAAGACTTGCATGGTAGTGCCAGAACTTGGAAGCTGCTCCCAGGAGAAACGGGTCTTCATAAGCTAAATGAGGAAAACAGAGGATTCTAACCATAAACATGATAAAGACAGCCTATAATTTAACCTGTTCCATTTTGTATGTGTACTTTTTTGTTTGTTTGCAGGAATGTAGCCTGTTTTACTCTAAAAGGTTCTGCCTCCCCTGTGTGAATGAAAACCTGAAGGCTTTTCCTTCTGAAATACAAGAAGATATGGATAAAAAGAAGCCCCAACCAAAATCCTTCCCTTCTAAAAAAACGGATGCAAAGACTTAAATACTGAAGGACCAAGATGGACAGTTTTTTGGCTGGGGTTTTGCATCTCTCCGTTTCCAGACTATCATGTTGCTTCTGTTAAAGAAGTGACCTTCATCAGCTTGCTACTACAGAAAGGAGTAACACATTTCCTTATATTTGGCTTGGCTTCAAGCATCATCATGCAGTAGTCGCAGTGCCAGCAGCATGGCCTTAAGGTGTTGAAAAACTCAGAAAGAAAGGCAGACAAGCCTGTTGTCACCACATTAAACGCATGCAGTAAGAAAATATAAACAGCTCAAAGCACAGGAAATATATCCAAATTTCACATTTGTTATTAAAATAATGTTTTGTGTTGTCCTTGACACTCCTACAGTGTTATGAAAAGCAGAGACAGATTTATCTGGCTTAGTTCAGCACACGTCCATGAAGTCAGCATACACCATCATTAACCAGACAATGTGGTCTTTATAAGATTAAAGTGGGCAGGGAGCTTAAGATTTATTTTTTTCTATCAAAAAAAAAAAAACCCTGTTACAAGAAAAGAGTTTTGAAGGTCATAATCTCAGGCCTACTTCTGAAAGTAAGTGCTCTTATAATAAAATGCCAGCTGATACAAGTCAGCAGTCACTTTCCACTCAAATGTCTAGTCCATGCCAAGATAGCACTGGGAGAGGGTAGGCAGCCTTGCTTGATCGACTTTTTGTGCGGTCAAAGTGAATGGGAAGTTATTTTTACTTGCAAAGCCTAAAGCTGAGCTAGTAAGGCTGCCCTAACCTCTCCCACTGCTGTCTGGAAATAAAAAAATTCAGATAATAAACTCAGTTATTTTCTGAATGGTGCAGTTACACTGCAACTAGGGCTGGAAATCCAAGAAACATAATTTTGATCACAAAAAGGGTTAAAAATGTTGGGGGAAAAGTGAATGTTTTGCTCAAATACTAGCTTCATGATTATGTATGTTGACTGTGTCTTAGTGACAAGCTTTATATGGTGTCTATATCACTATACTTAGTCATACTCTTTTAGGCTGTATCTGCAATGCTTGCTAATCACCAGATCTCAGCATTTAGTCAAGCATTTGTTAGGCATTGGTTAGGAATAGATTAATGCTCTGGTTAATATATCCCATTTTCTCAGCTCATCTATCCATCTGATTTGTCATTCACTTCTGAAGTTAATGATATGAGTAGGGTGAACCATGTAGATAAATATAGGGTTAACAGAACCCAGCATAATTTCAGTAAGTTATTTTATTTCAGGAAGGAATGAATCTTTCATTTTTCTTTTTATCAAACCTAGCATAGTGGTGGTTTCAGTTAATGACTGGAATTTCTAGGAGTAACTGAAGAAAGCCCTGCTTTAAAAGTTGTAATTATTGTAAAAATACCATGTGAGATGCTAGAAAGAGAATCACGTCTTTTCCATTTGAAAAGTGCAGGCATTTTAGTCAAGCTGACAAAAAAAAAAAAAGCAACATAGTTACATGAGATTATTTAGTGTGTCATTCCAGAAGTTTTTAATTAATTCCTTTATTTCACAATGCTTGTAGCAGGGGATGTTTTGCTGCATCGCTTGCAAGTAGTCTTCCCTCCCATTGAACCTTCTCTGTGCCCTCTAAAAAGTGCATTTATTCATAACCATTATGTTTGCCATTATGACAGGATAGAAAAACAATCTAAAGCCATCACAAATGACCTAATCTTTAAATAGCTGTAAATCATACTCAGGCTGCAAATATCACAGGTCACCAGTAAAGTTCAGCTGTAGCTGCTTTACTTGGAATCATTACTAGAAGGGGATGGATGCTGTAACTACCTGGTTTCAGCCATTCTAGCCTGCTTATTTAAGAGTACAATAGAAATAGCTAAGGATGATGAGTGCTTTGTAGTTAACAGGTTACTCGTAGCTTTCAGGTAAAGCAAAGCTTTCTGTCAGCATGCACCACAAATGATTCATTAGCCTGAGGGAATGATTAAACCCCAAGTTTGTCAGACATGGTCTGTTTCATGTTTTAAGAAACACATACTGAGCTGCGTGTAATTTGGTAGCTTCTGACAAATAGTTATATACAAATTTTAACCTTCCTTGTTTTTTTTTATTAAAACTTGTATCTACAGCATTCTAGTGATAAGCATTGAAACCTAATAATTTATTATTAGATTATTAGTATATATTTGATCACAGACCAAACCTCATCATACCCATACTTGCTGGCCATGTGGCCTACTTCTTATGCTGAGCTTTTGCAGTTTGATTTCATCAGGCTCCTTCAATACTTTCTGCTGTGGCAAATGACGCCTTGGTGGTTTAGAGCACAGCTCATGAGGAATCATGCATCTTCACCCTCTGCTGTAACTCTTCTCCTATCACCTTAATAACCCCCCAGCTCCTTAGGGTGTAACTATCTGTGATATAGCTTTCCCCACCAGTATTTAGTTTGAAGACATGCTCATCAAAGTAGGCAGTGTGCTACCATGCACCTAGAAGTAAATTCCAAAAATTTTTGCTTCTCAAGCTCATCATACATGGGTACATAGGATAGTAAGTCAACGAACATAACTAATGGAATACCATAACACAGACACTCACATGTTCCCAAATTAATCTGCAAGGACCAACACTTTAAGGATGCTCCACATTCTCTTTGCACCTTTAAAAGATCCACATGCAGCTCTGCAGCTCTTTGGTGCTAAGCCAAAAGGTCTGGCACCAGTCCTACTGAAGCTTGTTTTTCTGCACTTCACTACTACAATCTGTACAAGTATTCCCTGGTGTGACATTAAGCAGCCAAGTGTTTTCTGTAGCAGGGTCTTACATATCAAATACTTGAAGGCAAAATCATTCTGGTTGTTAATTACAGTGGAATTGGGAGTAATACAGGTTCCTTGCCCTGGTGCGGTGACAGAAGGAGTGACAGGTTGGCACCATTTCCTCCCTCCTGACCCCGAGTTCTGAATCTGCCAACCCTGACACAAGTCACCAGTGGAGAAGGTAAGTGGTTCTCCAAGAGTTCAGCGTGGAATGTTATCCATGCACGCACATTCACGGAAAGAAGGATTCAGTTAAGAGTTGGCAGCTGTTTCAGATAAAGTACAAGAGGCAGGGAGCACAGGGTAACAAATATGTTTGTCTCAAAAACACAACGCATGACCAAGAATTATTTTCCTGGAAGCAAAAGATGAGTCACAAGTCATTAAGCTTGCTTTTAAAAATACTTTATTTTTCTTTTGAAACCATTAAGGCAAAGCCATATTTGAAATTAACCATTTTTACATTCCATCTTACAGGATGACTTCTTTTCAAGTGCATAGATTCCTACCAGTCTGTATACAAACATTATGAATTCTATCTCTTAAAGGAGAAGAAGAAAATTCAGAATGTAAAAAAAAAAAAATCAAGTTCTTCATTCTAGATCAGTAGACTGGCAACATCACCATCATACTTAGCAAAACATATTTTTTTTTACATTCATGAGTGCAAGAGATTTTCCTATAAATCCCCGTGAGACCAGGACTTTCACTCTTTCTTGAAAATGTCATTTGTACCGTTCTCTGACTGAAAGAAACTTGTGAACATAGTTTGAATTAGTTGTGTTTGACTGCAAAGCAAGCATTGTCTAAGAAACAGGTTGGACTGCTCTCTGTAAAAAATGGCTGCTCCTCACAACTTTGATGTTCAGTATAGTAAAAGGCACCTAAGAAGCATTAAAAAAAAGGGACTGGAAACAATGATCTGATTTTTCTTCTCTTAAATATGGGTATTTTGATGTAAACAAACAATAGCTTCATAGATTAGGGTTTGGCAACACTCGAAAAAAAGGCTCTTTCTTTTGTGTCACAGCAGAT